AGGGTCGGCCTGTGGGGCTTACGGAACCCCCCGAGACGGCCCAAGAGGCCCCGAAGCCGGCCCAGGAGGCTCCCAAGACGGCCCCAGGGCAGGGAGGCCCAAGAGGGCCCCGTTCGAAATCATGTTCCCGGAAGCCTCTCGGGGAACATGATTTCTGGGTTCCCAGGGCCCCCTAGATCCCAGGGCCCCCTAGAGGGCCCCAGTACAGCCTCAACGAGGCCCAAGAGGGCCCGAGATGGCTTCAAGATGGCCGAAGAGGGCCCCAAGAGGGCCTTCAAGAGACAAAAATCAGCCCGTCGCCGTAGCAAAACGTACACATTCAGCATACTCCCCTTGCTTCGTCTTCGCAGTGCCCCAGATGCGCCCGAGGAGCCCCAAGACAGCCCAAGAGAGACCCAAGAGGGCCCAAGACGGCCCAAAAGGGTCGGCCTGTGGGGCTCACGGAAGCCCCCAAGACGGCCCAAGAGGCCCCAAAGCCAGCCCAGGAGGCCCCCAAGACGGCCTCAGGGAGGCCCAAGAGGGCCTCGTTCGAAGTCATGTTCCCGGAAGCCTCTCGGGGAACATGATTTCGCCCCCAGAGGCCCTGGACACGCCGAAGATGGCCTCAGGACGGCCGACGACGCCGCCAAAACGCCCCAGGAGCGCATCCAGAGGCCACTCCAAATGGCCCCAGAAGCCGATAATAATCAATTTTCCAATGGTTTTTGAAGCATTATTGCGCTCTCCATCTTCCGCCTCCCCATGGTCTAGGACCGCGTCAGAGGCCCTTCAGATCGCTCCAAGACGGCCGAAGAGGCTCCCAAGAAAGCCCAGAGACGGCCCAGGAGGCTCCCCAGATAAGTCAAGAGGGCCTCGAGAGCGCCCCGAGGGAGCCCCAAGAGCGACCCAAGAGGGCCTGAAGAGCGCGACATTTCGAGGTCTCCGGTCTGAGAGGCTCTTAGGACGCCCCCGGAGGCCATCAAGAGGCTCCCAAGAAGCTCCGTGAGGCTCCCAAGAGGCCCCCCGGAAGCCCCAATAGGCCCCCAAGGGACCCCTAGGGAAGCCCCCTGCGGGACCCCAAGACACTTCGGTAAATCGTATTTCCCAGATAGCTTTCCGGGAACATGATTCCTTGGGCTTCCGCCCACCGCCCCAGCCATGTTTCCAATAGGCTTGCCGACAAGGCCAAAAGGCGCCCCTCGGTAAGCCCTCAGAGGCCCCCCTCTTAGAGAGCCGAACAAATCATGCTCACAGAAAGCGTCCCGGGAACATGATTCTCTATCTCGGAGTAGGCCCGGGGGGGGGGGCAGGCCGCTGCTTGTTCCCCCCATCGGTGCCCACCAGGGGTTGCGGGGGGGGGTCCAGAGCTCCCGAGGCGGCCCGAGCCCGCCCCGAAGGAGGCCACGACAGGCTAAGGGGGTCCCGAGAGGACCCAAGACGGTCCCACGAGGCCCCGAAGACGCCCAACATGCCCTCAAGACAGACGACGAGGACTCCAACACGCTCCAGGACGGACTCAAGAGGCTCCCCAAGAGGGCCCTGGAAGGCAAGATTCATTCGTTTTCCGAGTGTTCGGGATTTTGGCGTTCTGGCTTTTCCCGCTTTCCAGCGCTCCCTCACGGCCTCGGAGGACTGTCAGATCGCTCCAAGAAGGCCCACGAGGCCCCGCCGAGGGACCCAAGACGGCCCAGGATGCTCCCCAGACAACCCAAGCGTGCCCCAAGAGCGCGCCACGAGAAGGCCCAGAGGGGTCCCGAGGCGGCGCGGGCCCCCCGAAGCAGGCCACGACAGGCTAATGGAGGTCCCGAGAGGGCCCTACACGGTCCCAAGAGGCCCCGAAGACGGACTTCTGGCGGGCTCCACCCTGGCCGGCAAGGCGCACCTCTCTCTGGTGCAAGCCCCAGGCGCGGCCGCGTGGCTCCAGGCGCCGCCCTGCGAGGCCACCGGCACCGCCTTCCCGCACGGCCTCATGCAGGTCGGCCTGCAGAGGCGGCTGCGAGTCCAGCTCCTGCAGGAGGAGTGCTCCTGCCCAGCCTGTGGCGAGGTGATGTCGACGTTTTCTGCGACAACGCCCTGGTCTGCGCCTGCCGCGGCGACCGGACCAAACGCCACAACGCCCTGCGCAACCAGGCCTTCTTCGACGCCCTGGCCGCCGGCCACGCCGGGGCGGAGTTGGAGCGCCCGGGGCTGCTACCCGCGCGCCCCGCCGGGGAGGCCACCCCCGGGGGCGAGCAGGGCGGGCCCCAGGTAGACGACAACGGCCGCCGCCCTGCCGACGTCTACCTGCCGCGGTGGCGCAACGGCACGGCGGCCGCCTGGGACTTTGCCGCCACGTCAGGGTTGCGCGCCGATCTCCTCGCCGCGTCGGCCGCTTCGTCAAGCGCAGCGACGGAGCGGTACGAGGAGTTCAAAAGGCAGCACCAGGACACCGCGCGGCTCTGCGCAGCACCGGGCTTCACTTTCCTCCCCATGGTGGTGGAAGCCCACGGCGGCGGGTGGGGCCGCGAGGCACGCAGGGCCTTCGGGGTCCTGGCCAAGCGGGTGGCTGACGCCACGGGGGAAGACGCCGCACTGGTTGCGGACCCACATGCCCAGCGACTTTCCGTCTCCCTGCACAGGGAGAACGCGCGGGCGGTGTTGCGGCGCCTTCAGACCCTGTCTGGAGGGGCGGGGGTGGCAGCGGCCCGCCTGGCCGCGGCCACGGCGGCCTCCACGGCAGACGCCGTGTGAGGTGCCCCCTGCGCTGCCTAGCACCCCCCGCCCACCGCCCCCCGCCCTTGCTGGGCAGCGCGGCCGCCCCCGCGCCCTTTCGCCAACGTCGCGCCGGCGACCCCTCCCACGCGCCGCAGAGGCGGGGCGGTGGATGGATCCCGCAGAGGGCAATCCCCACCAAGCCGCATCGCGCTGGGTTCGGGCGGCCACCCCGCCCAGGTCGCCGCCGTAGGGTCCGTAGCCTCGTCGCGGGCGTCTCTTCTCTCCCGGCCCCTGGCCCGGCCTGTCTGCTTGCGGCCGCTGCTTTCTCTCCCCCTCGTCCTCCTCCCCCTCTCCCCCCCCCTTCGCTTCTGCTCGTTGCTTCCCTCCCTTTCCTTTACTCCTGCTCCCTGCCTGCTGTCTCCGCCTGGCCCGTCTTCTGCCTGCCCGCCCGCCCCGCCGGCCCTGGCCTCCCGCCTGGGCGTTCGTCGTCGTCTGCCTGCTTCTCCCCTCCTCGTCCCCTTCCGCCGGACAGCACAGCCTGCCCGGAACCAGCGTGGCGGCATATAGGGGCCTGACAAGCTGTGTGCCCTGTACAGCTGTGCGTGTAGGATTTGCAGTGCTTGGCGCCACGAGTGAGCGACGAGCTCTCTCTTTCTCTCTCTCTCTCTCTCTCTCTCTTTCTTTCTTTCTTTTTCTCTCTCTCTCTCTCTCTCTCTCTCTCTTTCTAACTCTCCTCATGGTCAGAAGACGCCCAAGCTGCCCTCAAGACGGCCGACGAGGACTCGAACATGCTCCAGGACGGACTCAAGAGGCTCCCCAAGAGGGCCTTGGGAGGCAAGATTCACAAATTGTCCGATGGTTTTTGGATGATGTAGGCGTTCTCGCTTTCCCCGCTTCCCAGCGCTCCCTCACGGCCTCGCTCGGAGGCCCTTCAGATCGCTCCAAGACGGACCAGGAGGCCCCGAAGAGGGCCCCAAGACGGCTCAGGAGGCTCCTCAGACAACCCAGCTGTGCCCCAAGAGCTCCCCAAGAGAGGGCCCAGAGGGGGACCGCCAACCGATATTTCGAGGTCTCTGGCCCTCGAGGCCGCCTGTAGGCTCCCGGAGGCCACCAAGAGGCTCCCACGAAACCCCGTGAGGCGCCCAAGAGGCCCCCAGGAAACCCAAAGAGACCCCCAAGGGGTTCCCGGGGAACGCCCACGAGGCCCCCCAACACACCCCAAGAAATCATGTCCCCAGGAAACCTTCCAGTGATATGGTTCATCATGGGCCTGAGAGTTCCCGGAGGCCCCCAAGGGGCCCCCAGGGAACGCCCAAGAGACCCCCCAACACACCCGAACAAACCATGTCCCCAGAAAGCCTTCCGGGGACATGGTTCATCATGGGCCCGCGAATCTCCAGAGGCTTCGAAGTACCATCATGCTACAGGAGAGCTGTCTGGGCAGTTGATTGGGAACATGACTGATCGTCTTCTCGCGGCCCTCCGCAGATCGTTTCGCACAAAGTTGCCCCAAGTGCCCTCTTGAATCGACGACGACGACGAAACGACGAAGACGACGACGACGACAACCACGACGACGACGACGACGACGACGACGACGACGACGACGACGACGACGACGACGACGACGGCGCGCCCCAATAGGCGACGACGACATTACGACGACGACGACGACGACGACGACGACGACGACGACGACGACGGCACGCCCCAACAGGCCCCCCAAGACGCCCCAAACCCATGCTCCCAGAAGGCTTTCTGGGAACCCGATTCACACGGCCTCCGCCCCCCTACACAAACATTTTCCTCGAAGGCCTTTCGGAGTGAAGATTGGCATGCGTGGATTGTGGTCCACTACTTCAGTGGAGCAGCAGTGAATTCGTCAAGGCCTGGGGCCTGCTCGAACCTGAGCGCGCGCGATGATTCTAGTATATATATATACACACTCACTGATCAATATCACAAGCGAAAAGAGCTCGTCGTTCGAATTGTCGGGCATGTGGAGGAGGCCGGATGGTCCAGAGTGACGTCGCACAACAAACCGTGGCGTCGGATATTTGGGTCTCTTCCCGTTCCTTCTTGTACTGGCTGGAGGCATGGTGCTTGCGAGGGTCTTTGCACATATGTGAGATGTTGGGGTGGGGGTGCAGGCGCGTCATCAGGAGCCCATCCGCACTTTCAGGATACACAGCGTCACGTGACCGGGCCCGCCTCCCTCGTCGCTACGCGGCGAAGACAAGCCCCCGGAAGACCTCGGATATCGAGGTTCTCGAAGCCTCGAGGTGTTCGGTATCGTCCTCCGCCTTGTTGTCCTCCTCCCAGCGAAGGCCACCCTGTCCGGGTGCTCTGGCTGGACGGAGCTACTCGAGCTCGAGGGGGACCGCGCGACGTTCAATTTCACGACCAACGGTGACAGTTTCGGCGGGGACTCCGAGCGCTGGGGGGCCTTTGCGCTCGTCATGCCGTCCTTCCCCGCCGTGCCGCTGAGCCAGGATGTTGGGAGACACCAACAGTCGTCGGGGCTGAGCATATTCTGGCCCGATCAGGCTCAGGTGGCCCTTGCGAATCGGGCTTGAAAGACCCCCTTCATCTTTCCCACGGAGACCTCCCAGGAGTTGCCTCCCAGCCTCCTCCTCCTCCTCCTCCTCCCAGCCTCCTCCTCCTCCTCATCATCATCATCATCATCATCATCCTCCTCTTCCTCCTCCTCGTTCTCCTCCTCCTCTTCCTCCTCGCCTCATACGTCGGAGATCGTGGGGACGTGCCCTGGAATCAGTACGGGTCCGCAGGATATCGTCCCGTCGCCTCGAGCCCCAGCCTCTAGGCACGATCCTGGCTCGATCAGGCTCGCCGTTGCATACAGTGGAAGTCCATGCCAATAAACGCCCTGTTTGCCTCCAGGGTGCCCTGGGTTTCTTGGGTGTCGGTGGTTGCGTGACGCTCCCACACCTAAAAATCAGTGGACGTCCTGGAGGTCCAGGGTTGGGTTTCTTGTGGAAGGCTTCTTGTGGTCGAGCTCGTACTGTAGTCACTCGGCGTCCACATCTTTGCTGCGCCCAGGGGCGATTCCGATGCGAGCTGTAGTGCGCAGCGCACTCCAGCCATCCTTAGAGGCATCGGATCCCAAAGGGCGCCCTCAATGGCGCGAAGGTGCTCGCGCTTCGCGCTTCGGCTCCGATTCTGCCTCATCATCCTCTTCTCCACTGAAGGGCGGCGCGAGAGCACGAAGTTTCTCGCGCAGCGCGAAGCGCGAAGTTAGGAGCTCTTAGGGAGGAAACGACGGGCCAGGAGGAGGGAGGAAAGCGACGGGGGACGAGGAGGAGGGAGGGAGTGAGGGAGGAGGGAGGGAGGGAGGGAGGGAGAGGGACAAGGAGGAGGAGGAGGAGGAGAAGGAGGAGGGAGGAGGGTGGAGGAGAGGAAGAGGAGGAGGGAGGAGGAGGAGGAGGAGGAGGGAAGGAGGAGGAGGAGGAGGAGGAGGCGGAGGAGGAGGAGGAGGGAGCAGGGAGGAGGAGGAGGAGCGACTCGGCTGCAGAGGTGCTAGCGTGGGGAGGAGCGCGCAGGAGGAGGAGGAGCCGTATGCCTCCCTTCTCGCTCCTCCCCCAGAGGCGCCGGGGCGGCGGCCTCCGGCCCGAGGGGAGGGGAGGGAGGAGAGCAGGGGAGGAGGAGGAGGGAGGAGAGAGGAGGAGGAGGAGGAGGAGGGAGGAGGAGGAGGAGGGGGAGCGAAGCAGGGGGCAGGAGGAGGAGGAGGTCGAGTGAGGAGGAGGTTAGGAGGAGGAGGCAGGAGGAGGAGGAAGAGGAATAATAATAATAATAAGAAAAAAGAAGAAGACGTGTGGTCGGTGGCAAGTCATGGGAGCAGTTTGGGCTCAGGAGAGGCTCCGGTGGTCGGGCCTTTCCTGAGAGATGTATGCCGTTGAGCGTGTCTGTGGCGCAGGCCCGCCGAGGCCAGAGAAGCCCCTGCGTTCCTTCGGTCGCACATCATGGGGGGCCCGGTGTGCCCTCATGATTCCGTCTTTAGCGTCGATTGACGTCTGGAGTCGATGGGATAGCGCCGATTTAGCGTCGGCTAGCGTCGATCTAGCGTCGATCTAGCGTCGATCAGCGTCGATCTAGCGTCGAGTAGCGTCCGATTCGCAAGAGCCGACAAGGAGGGACGGGTGGGAGTGAGGGAGGAGGAGGGAGGGAGGGAGGGAGGGAGGGGAGAGGACCAAGGAGGAGGTAGAGGGAGGAGGTGAGGGAGGAGGAGGAGGAGGAGAGGAGGAGGAGGTGGAGGTGGAGGAGGAGAGGAGTGGCATTTCAGGGAGGGGAGGAGAAGGAAGAGGGAGGAGGGTGGAGGAGAGGAGGAGCGCGGGAGGAGGACGGGAGGAGGGAGGGAGGAGGAGGAGGAGGAGGAGGAGGAGGAGGAGGAGGAGGAGGAGGAGGTGGAGGAGGAGCAGGAGGAGGAGGAGGTTTGAGCAGGAGGGGGAGGAGGAGAGGAGGAGGAGGAGGAGCCGTGTTGCCCCTCCCTCTTCGCTCCTCCCCCAGAGGCTCCCGGGGCGGCGGCCTCCGGCCCCCGAGGGGAGGGGACCCGAGAGCAGGGGCCGGTGCGTCAGAAAGGGGGGGGGGGGTCTGGCGATCGGGACGCACGACGTGGTCGGCGGCAAGTCATGGGAGCAGTTTGAGGCCGGAGGAGGGAGGAGGAGGGGAGGAGGGAGAGGAGGAGGAGGAGGAGGAGGAGGAGGAGGAGGGGAGGGAGGAGGAGGAGGAGGTAGCAGGAGGAGGAGGAGGAGGAGAGCAGGGGCCGGTGCGTCAGAAGGGGCGGGGGTCTGGCGATCGGGACGCACGACGTGGTCGGTGGCAAGTCATAGGAGCAGTTTGGGCTCAGGAGAGTCGGGTCGGGCGAAAGGGGGGATTGGGAAAGGGGGGGTTACGAAATTTGCTGCATGCAGCTGGTTTCGGCCTCACCGAGGGGCCCCTTCCTCGATACATGGCCGCCTCCGGCGCCGGGAGGCGCCGGGAAAATCAGCTACGTGAGCTGATTCTCAAACCCCCCCTTTGCTATCCCCCCCTTTCGCCCGACGAGGTCGGTGGCAAGTCATGGGAGCAGTTTGGGCTCGGGAGAGGCTCCGGTGGTCGGGCCTTTCCTGAGAGACGTATGCCGTGGAACGTGTCTGTGGCCCAGGCCCGCCGAGGCCAGGAAAGCCCTTTCGTTCCTTCGGTCGCAGATCATGGGGGGCCCGGTGTGCCCTCATGATTCCGTCTTGAGCGTCGATTGACGTCTGGAGTCGATGGGATAGCGCCGATTTAGCGTCGGCTAGCGTCGATCTAGCGTCGATCTAGCGTCCGATTCGCAAGAGCCGACAAGATGGGACGGGAGGCTCCCATCAGTTGCCACCGAAGAAATGGGCACGGATGATCGATGTCTTATTCATTGTTTTGCCGATCGCCACGGGCCCTGGCACCACCTCCACCCCCCATGGAGGAGATCTTGGCTGTTTTGGGCGCCTGTTTCAAACAGAGGGGGTCTCCGCTATAGGACGCACTGTTGCAAACAGTCGCACTAAGCAGAGGTCCAGAGCCAGACCCCCCCCCTCCCCCCTCTTCCGCCCAATGTCGAAACACCGAATAAGCAAACGTAAGAATGGGTACGAAGACCGACATCATTTGTTGCTCATTATGAACTGGATTCGCTCCTGGCATCGCGGCGGTTCGTGTTGGTTGGAAACAAGAAGCCGCCTGCCCAACCTAGGCCGCTGTCGGCTTTGGACCACATTAGGTGTTGTGTATTGTACCCATCTCTTCCGTACCCATTTCGTCCGTCCAAAAAAAGACACGGCGACAATGACGAAGATTATACGTGGCAGCGTCGTGTGCCTCTCTGTTTGTCTGTCTGTCTGTCTGTCTGTCTGTCTGTCTGTCTGTCTGTCTGTCTGCCTGCCTCTCTGCTTGCCTGCCTGCCTGCCTGTCTGTCTGTCTGTCTGCTCTGCCTGTCGGTCGGTCGGTCTGTCTGTCTATCTGTCTATCTGTCTGTCTGTCTGTTTGTCTGCCTGTCCTCCTCCCTGGTGCCGCGGACTGGAGCGCGCGCGCGCGCGTGGGCACTCGATGGTTCAAAGATGGCGTTCCTGGGGATGGGGGCCTAAGGATAGGAAGGGACCCAAGGATGGATTTACACTGTTGGAGGCCATCTCTCAGGACCCCATCCCTCAGGACCCCATCTCTGAACCCCACCATTCAGGGGACCCCATCCCTCGGGGTCCCATTCCTCAGGGGATCCCATCTCTGAACCCCACCCCTCAGGGGACCTCATCCCTCGGGGTCCCATCCTCCAGGGGACCCCATCCCTGAACCCCATCCCTCAGGGGACCCCATCCCTGAGGGCCCCATCCCTCAGGACCCCTCTTTCTGAACCCCGTCCCTCAGGGGGCCCCATCCCTGAGGGCCCCATCCTTCAGGGGACCCCATCTCTGAACCGCCGAGACACGGCGCAGGCGCCGCACCCGCAAAGGGGGGGGGCGGCCAGCCGGGAGAGCGCACGCGCCGAGATTGCAGGGGATGGCAGGAGGAGCAGGAGGAGAAGGAGGAGCAGGGGATGGAAGGATGGATGGAGGAGAGAGGGGCAGGGAGTGTGAGGGGAAGGCAGGGAGGGGGGGAAGGGAGGGAGGCAGGGAGGGGAAGGCAAGGAGGGGGGGGAAGGGAGGAGGAGGAGGAGGAGGATGAGAGGAGGAGGAGGAGGAGAAGAGGGAGGAGGAAGAGGAGGAGGAGGAGGAGGAGGAGGAGGAGGAGGAGGAGGAGGAAGGGAGCAGGAGGAGGAAGAGGAGGAGGAGAAGGAGGAGGAGGAGGAGGACGAGGAGGAGGAGGAGGAGGAGAAGGAGGAGGAGTGCCTCCCCCCCACACCGCTAGAATTCCTCAAGAGGTCGCCAGAGGCCTCCATCGTGGCCTCCCCGATGCCCCTGGGGGCCTCGGAGCCCTCGGAGGCGCGTGGCCGCACAGGGAGTTCCGCCCAAGGCACAAATGGTGCCGCCCGCACAAATGGGGGCGTCCCCTCCCTGAATGTCGGCACACACACAGACACAGACACAGACACAGACACAGACACAGACACAGACACAGACACAGACACAGACACAGACACAGACACAGACGCAGACGCAGACGCAGACGCAGACACACACACACACAGACACACACACAGACACACACACACACACACAGACACACACACACACACACACAGACACAGACACACACAGACAGACACACACACACAGACACGCACACAGGCACACACACACAGACACGCACACACACACACAGACACACACACACACAGACACACACACACACACACCACACGTTTTCGTGGCCCCATACAGTCGGGGCCCTGAAGAAGGAACCCTTTTCGTTGGGGAGGGGCTCCGCGTTCCTGAAGTGTTTCACAGCTTGCCTCAGGTGTTCCTTATGTTTTCGATAGGAAACCGAAGTTTCACTTATGGAAAACAGGGGCCTCGTTCCTTATGTTGGGTTCCTTAGGTCAAGGCCCCGACTGTAGGGTGCCCCACCGAAGGTCACCATGATGCCGTTCGCATGCGTCCCCGCCACTCATGTCGGCACACCTCTCACACAGCTCATGGCCCAAGTAGGGAGCTCCACCCAAGGATCCAATGGTGCCGCCCCCATGCGCCCCCGCCACCCATTTTGGCACGCACCTCGCACGGCTCGTGACTCCACAGGCAGATCCACCCAAGGCGGCAATTGCGCCGTTCGCATGCGCCCCCGCCACCGATGTCGATACACCCCTCACACGTTTCGTGGCCCTATAAGGAGCTCCACCCAAGACCTCAGGCGGTGCCAACCGCATGTGTCCCCGCCGCCTATTCCTGCACACCCCTCGCACGTTTCGTGGCCCCACAAGGAGCTTCACCGAAGGCTTCAGCTGCACCCTCCGCACGCGTCCCCGCCATCCATTATGGCACAGCCGTTAAACGTTTAGTTCCCGCGTGGGGAGCTCCACCGAAGGCTCCAGCGGCGTTCATGCGGTCCCCCATCTAATTCGGCTCACCCCTCACATAGTTCATGGCCCCACAGGGAGCTCCACCCAATGCCCTGGTGCCACTGTTCGCATGCGTCTCCCCCATCCATCCTCTAACATGTTTCCCACGTTTCGTGGCCCCACAGACAGCTCCACCCAAGGCCCTAAGGCCACATGAGGAGATCCACTGAAGGCGATATTCACAACGACGGTATTCACAACTGCATATGGTTAGGTCTTTCGCCAGGAGCATTTGTTTAATGTCCTCGGAAGTCGTGACCCTTTTCCCAGGGCCGGTTTTTCATCGCGAGTCGTTTTCGGACGGTCCCAGGTCCGGGCGAGGGCTTCTGGAGGCCGCAAGCGACCCCAAAAACACCATCGTGATTTTTGCCACGACCCGAGCGTCACTGGGTTTCTTATCGTCGCCCACATGGCCGATTTCAGAAACTCTGAATCCAAAAACGTTGCCACCTCTTGGGGGCGCATCTTTTACTTCCGGCAGCTTCCGCCGGCGGGCGCCAGCGGAGGTGCCCTCGTCTTACCTCCGCCGCCCTTCCGCGGCCTTCCGCCGAGGAAGAGATGACAACTCCTCTCATCCTCGAGTGCACGGCCCTGTCCAGAACGCCTCACCCAGAACCCCGCCGCCATGTTTTCGCTCCTTACTCCGGGGTTGCTCCAGGCGTCCCTGGCCCAAGGCGCCCCCAGCTTTTTCCGCATGATCGTGGGGCCCCGGGGCCCTCTGTGCCTCGTGAGGGGCTGTTTCTCTGAAGACCATGAGAGCCTCCTTGAAAAGCCCTGGGGGCACCTTGGGCCGGGGGCACTTCTAGCAACACCCGATTTACCGCGACCCCCAGAGGTCTCGACCCATCCCCCAGGACCAGCTGTTCCTCCTGAGTCATTTTTCTTGACGGTCTGAGGGCGAGGGCTCCCAGGAGAGGCCGAAATTAGCAAGGGAGGCCTCCGCCGTGCTTTTGTTCATGGCCCGCGGGGCTCAGGGCGCGCGGCTCCCTGCCAAAGAGGCCACGACAGGAGCGTCAGGGCCTCTCGAGGGCTACCAGGAGCGGCCGAAAATAGCAAGAGGAGCCTCCGTCGTGCTTTTTGCTCATAGCCCGAGGGGTACCTGCCAGAGAGACCCCGCCAGGAGCGCCTCGACGACCTCGCCAGGGCCTGGACGGAGAGGCGGGCGCGCGCCGAGGGCGTGCGGGCGGAGAAGCTGGCGGTGGGGCGCGAGGGCTGGGACGAGGCCCGGCTGAGGCCCGAGGCTGAAACCTGCGATGATCCTCCAGGCCTCGCAGATGGGGTCCGAGCAGGTAGATGGGGTCGGAGGCTCGCGCCGCACCGCCGATACATCGCCAATACATCGCCGAGGCATCGCCGAGGCATCGCATTGGGGCGCGAGGGCTGGGACAAGGCCCCGCTGAGGCCCGAGGCTGGAGTCTTCGATCCTAGGCTCGAGGCTCGAGGGCAACGAGGGGTTCCAGGTCTTCGGGGGGGTGCGCCGGTTCTCGACGGAGTTCCAGGCCTCGGGGCGATTCCCAGCGGCTGCGCCTCGGCGGGGGCGCTCCGGGGGCACCCAGAGCGCCCCGAGCGGGCGCTGGAGCCCAGGCGCGAGCAAGGAGGGGGAAGGAGGAGGAGGGAGAGGAGGAGGGGGAGGGGGAAGAGGAGGAGGAGGAGGAGGAGGAGGAGGAGGAGGAGGAGGAGGAGGAGGAGGAGGGGATCGGGAGGGAGCGCATCGACCTCCATTCGCCCATGGATCGCTGGTAGGGGTCTGATGGCCCCACACCGCCCAGGGCCGTGCGGACTCGCTGTCGAGGGCCTGTCGCCGATCTATATCGGCGACGTATCGCAGATTCCAGGTCGACGCGCCCCCCCTGAGCGGGTACCCCCTGTCGTTGCCCCTCGTTCCATGATCCTCGGGGCGCGTCTTTCGGCGGGCCTCCGAGAAATCATGCGCATGCCGTGTTTTGTACCTCTAGTTTGGGCCCCAAGTTGCCCAGAGGTCCAGGCGCTTTGCTTTTTTGTCCACACCGGGCGTGTTCGCCTGGTTCCGGGCCCCGGGGCCATCCCAGATCGATCCGACTCGAAAAATGGCGTCGAAGGAGGAGGTCCAGGGCTGCGGTAGTGAGTTCCCCTATGCAGTGCACTGTTAGTTTCGACATGTTTTGTGTTGGCCCAGTCCCAGACCTCCTGGCGTCGTGAAAAAATCACGACGGGAGGTTTTTCGCTATTTTCGGCCTCAGGGGGCCCTCGCAGGGCCTCGGGGCCGTCAAAAAACGACTCAGGACGAAGAACCGGCCCCGGCGAATAGGTCCGGACCTCTGGGGGTCGACGTTGTGAAAAAATCACGACGTCGGGGGTCTGGGGTGGTACCCCCCCCTCAGGTAGTCCCGGCTGGCCTCAACACGCCCCCCGAGTAGTCCCAGACTCTGCGACTCGTGGGTAGGTATACCATCGCCATCGCCGTTCTCGTGCATGAGACTGGAAGTCTTGTGGCCCTCGTCGCGCAATGGATCGATGCGGCCAGCTCTTCTTTCGCGTCCTAGGCCTCCGAGGCTAGTTCCAGGCAGCCCAGGTCCGTCCGAGAGCAGTTCGGGAAGAAGCACCGGCGATGAGGGAGCGCCCCCCACGAGTCGGGGGCAACATAGGAGGGGATAGGCTCAGGGGGGATGCATCAACCTCCAATCGCCCATTCACCCGTTCATCGCCGAAATGGGTCCGATCGCCCGTGGTGCAGGAGCCTGCACATTTGGTACCGCCGATTGCAGGTCCTATGAGAAAAATCCTGGAGGCCTCGCGCGGCGCGCAATAGTTCACACGTCGGCCCCGTAAGATGTGGGAAAACATTCGCGAGGCGACGTTCCGACGGAAGTCCGACGTGAGTCTGATGCCAATCCGAGATAATTCTGACGTGAGTCCGACGTACGACGTGAATCTGGATCCGACGCATAGCTGGTCTCAAGTTATCGCGCGAGGACTCCATGACTTCCCTGCACTTTCCTCATAACAGTTCGATGTCCCCCACCCCCGAGCCAGCCATTCCCCCCTATCGTCTCCCCTCGCAGACGGCGCGAACAGATAGTGGCGTTGGGTGCCTGGGACCGCTGCTTGGGGAGCCGATCCTCCCAGGCTTCGGGCCTGGCTGCCTCCGAAGGCGGAGACCTGATGGCGGAGGTGGTACTGGATCGTGCCTTTGAGCCCCATGGGGGGCCCAAAGGAGACCCTCATCCGCTGCCTCCTGAGCTCCTGGGGGATTGGTCCCCCCAGCGGCGTTGTTGGGCAGATTCTGGCCTCGGCCGAGGGCGCTGTGCACGCGCCACGGCTGGGAGTTCGAGTGGATGTCGGAGGACCGGGAGACCAACCACAACACCAGACCTCTGCCGGCTCTCAACATTGACGGTCTTGATTTCTGTTCTTGATCTCCCCCTCCTCCTCCTCCTCCTCCTCCTCCTCCTCCCCCTTCTCCTCCTCTCCTTTCCTCCTCCCCTCTCCTCTCCTCCTCTCCTCCTCACTCCTCCTCCTCCTCTCCTCCTCCTCCTCCTCCCCCTCTTCCACATCCTGTCACTTTCCCCTCCCAGCTTTCTCCACCCTCCATCCTACCTCCTCCCTCTCCCTCCTCCTCCTCCTCCTCCTTCTCCTCCTCCTCCTCACCCCCCTCCTCCTCGCTTTCCTCCCCTCCCTCCTCCTCCCCCTCCTCTTCCTCCTCCTCCTCCTCCGTTGCGAGGCAGGATTTCTCGGAGGACGGGCTGCTGCGCGTGCATGCGCGTGCTCGCGTTATGAGGCAGGACTTTCTTGGAGGTGGTCATTGTGGGCATGGGGTCCGCTACGGTTGAGGCAGCTTGTACTCGTTTGCGGGCCTGGGCGCTTTCCACCGGTTGTCATTGTGCAGTCGATTTCTGGTAGGATGGGGCTCAGGTATGTTTGATTTAGGGCTCGAGGGGTGAGCCGATTGGCTAGCATTCCCCTCGCCCTCGGGCCTGGTATGCCCGCAAGACGCTTCGGCGCAGCATTGGGCAATGTATTGCACGTGGTGGATTTTAATGTTGTCCTTCTCTGGCTGGTGGTTGAAAATAGCGTGCATTTCGCCGCAGACTTTGTGAGCGTTGCTGGAGGTGACAGAATTTATTGTTTCTTTTCCGGGTCATTACTATTGCCGGGTGTTTTCGCCATTGTCTTCTTCTGTTTTTGTCATCTCACGGAGTGCTCGCGGTCCACATCGTGTGGGTGTGGCATGCGTTGCGCGTCTTGGAGCACGCGGCCTCATGGTGTTCGGTGTGGCGGTCATGGCAAGCAGGCTTTGGTGCAGCATTTCGGCATTGCGTTTTTCGTTGTGTGTCATTTTCAATTTCTGCCCTGGCTGGTGGTTGAAAAGAAGCATGCAGCTCGCCACCTTCCTGGGAATATTGCTGGAGGGGCATTGTTATTTCATCACTGCGGGTTGCGTCGTGTCGGTGCGTTCGCTCATTGTCTTCTACCCCATTATTTCCTACCCGTCCATGGAGATGTAGGGTGTCAGGCTTCCCATGCATGCACGCAGGCTTCTCCGCGTGGGGCTGTGCATGCACGCAGGCTCCCCATATCATCCTCCCCCCCCCTCGTCCTGGCCAGAGCATGCACACAGGCTTCCCATATCATCGAATCGAGTCGAATCCTCCTCCTCCCCCCCCCCTCCTCCTGGCCAGAACATGCACACAGGCTTCCCACATCATCGAATCGAGTCGAATCCTCCTCCTCCCCCCCCCCCCTCCTCCTGGCCAGACGAGTCGCTCACGACCACGAGCTGGCCCCCGGGGCCTGGAGAGGGGTCGAGAGTTCCCGGGCGCCGGCGCCTCGCACGAGGCGGGCGTCGTCGGAGGTCTGGGACCGGGTGTTGTGGGAGGGGGCTGCGCTCCTTGGCACCCCCCGAAGGATTGCAAAAAAACCGAAGGATTGCAAAACAAAAAAAAACAGAATTGCAAAATAACCCAGGGGTTTGCAAAAAAAAACCTGGATTGCAAAAAAAACACGGTTTTTCTTGCAACCCAGGGCTGTTTTTTGCAATCCTTCGCAAAAGGTTTTTTTTGCAATCCAGGGTTTTTTTTGCAAGCCTCGGCCTCGGCTCCCTTCTCTTGACAGGAAAGAGAAGTGTGCACATGCACCGATTCTGGCCAGGCCCGTCCCGAACCCAGGATCGATCGGTGCATGCGCCCTCCTGCCTTGGCCAGGAGGGCCTGTGCGCCGATCCTGGGCCCGGGATGGATCGGTGCATGTGCAAACTGCTCTTCGCCCGACCTTCTGAGACCTGTCGAGCGCCGCCAACCCGCATAGTAAGGGTGCGCAACTTTCACAGGGTACCCGTGCATCCTTCCCCTTGGGCCAGCCTCGGCCGCTCTCGCTGCCCGCGCCCCGCCCGCTAAGTGTCGACAAGGCCTTCAGAGGCACGTGCATCCTTATCGTGCGTCCTTATCATACGGTCGATTGTAGGACATCGGTGCGCCAGAACTCGGGTTTGCCAACGCTTTTTGACGAGCGCGTCCTGGATTGCGACGGTCCAGTTTTCGTGGGATGTCTGCAGCGGGAGTTCGCGTCAAATTTCACATTGGGTCTCGTCATTTGCATGATGGCCCCTGCAGGCCAACCCGAGTCCCCCGAACCCGAGTGTTACGTCTCCCCGATTGAAATTTTCCGAGTAGGAAATCGATTACCGAATTGATTTACCCCAACTTTTGTTTTCGCCGAGGATGCTCGCAGCGTTCGCCGAAGATGTTCGCAGATCTACTGGCACTATACGCAAGCTATGCATATCCGGCGAAATGTTTTAAATTCGGGAGTAATTCTGTAGTCGATCTCCTCCTCGAATTCTCGATCGAGGGGTTGGAAGGTCGAGAGGACCTCCGGGTCACCCCCGGCGGCGCGAAGACGATCGGCCTTGCCTCCTTCCCTCGTCGCGGCCCAGTGCCTAAGCCATCGGACTGCTCTCCTCTGGGGTCTGGGGCGCGAGGTCGGGCAGCTGACCGCGCGCCGCCGCGCGTCGCGGGGCGCAAGATCAAGGGAGTCAAAGCCACCCGGGCCCGATGATTGGCGTGTGCTAGACGGCCCTGGGCGTTCACTAAACCGCCCTTCCATATGTTCGATTTTCCTCCTTTTGGGTGCTCTGCGTGCCGGGGTGACTGTTAGGAGGGTGGCTTTTCTGCTCGGCCTGGGCACGTCGTGACCCCGACTGGGAGCATACAGTCGACACCGATGGCAAGGCTGGGCAGCCTTCCCAGGGGTTCGAGGCCGCCTGGACGGGGCTCCGAGCAGATGGGGTCGGAGGATCGCGCCGCATCGCCGACGCATCGGCGATGCATCGGCGACGCGGCTCGATGCGGAGCCCGAGTTTCTCCACGCCGACGTCGCCGGTGCATCGCCGACGTCGCCGATGCACCGCCGATGCATCGCCGATACATCGGCGATGCATTGGCGATGCGGCGCGATCCTCCGACCCCATCTACTCGGACCCTTCTGGGTAATCCTGGCCTCCTCGGTCTATCCGTTACCGTTTTCAACTTCCAGTCCTGATTGGAAGGCTCCGGCATGGGCGTCCAAGGGGCTTGCATCCTTCTCGCGCATCCGTAATATCAGTTCTGACTGCACTTCTGGTTTTGGTTCGGCTTCGTACCGAGTGCGGCGCGCGGAAGAAGCGGCCCCAGAGAGGCCCCACAAAGGGGCAGCCATCTTGACCTTCCACCCTCAAACAACGACTATTGGGCGGAACATCGCCTTCGAACCTCAAACTTCAAGCCTTCAAACTTCGAGAAGTGCGAACGGCGACGGCGACGGTGGCGACAACGACGACGATGATGACGGCGACGACCCCAGCCTGCCAACGTCCTGACGCGAAGGGAGCGCCTCGGGAGCCTCTGAAAGGGACAAACGCTTTGTTAGAACTCCGAGCGACGACGGCACAAGAGCCTCAATTCTTGCACGCCGACGGCGGCGGCGGCGGCGGTGGCGGCGACAACCTGCCGGAGCGCGCGGGGGGCAGCGGAGCGGGTGCGCACGCAACAGGGTTCGGCGCCCACGGGCGCCAGCCATTGCCTTCTGATCCCCTCCGGCTGACCCAGGGTCGGGAGACACGTTGAGACCCCCACGATCCCTTCCCGAGACTTCTGGCGGATTGGATCCTTCCATCCTGCCGTATCTCTTCCATATCAGCGTGGGGGGGCCGCATTGGGGCCCCGGGGTAATCAAATATTGATTCGGGGCTTGAATCTTACCCCTGGGGAGGGTGTTGGGGCCCGTCGCTGGAAGAAATCAATCCATCAGATGGCAAAGTTCCCCCTCTGACCTGTCTAGTGGGAGCTCCTGTGTGGCTTGGTTGTGTCCGCAACGGTGCTTCGGCTGGACAGGGGTCAGCGGCTGGCCCGGGTCCGCGATTCGGCTTGCTCGCCGTACCAGGCAGGATAGATAGAGAGATATGATATGATATGTTCTGATATGATATGATATATATATATATATATACGCAGGAGAGGAACCTTCCGTATTGCAGCATCATCTCACCGATCCGCATTCCCACTGGGCAACTGTTACTCAGCCCCACCAGCCCCCCCCCCCCCCCACCCACTCAAGGTGGGGACAGGCCCTGCGAAAGACTGAAGGGAACAGTCTGTTACTTCTACCAATACAATGGCGCGGAAGAGGTCGCACGGCTGACGGACACCCCTCGTCCCACCCCCATCATGTGGGTCGCGGACCACGCCTGGTGTGTTCTGGAACGTCCCAACGGCGTCCCCGAACGACGCCGACACGCCGACCGACGATTCCAAGACGCCCTCAGAGGGCCCCACGAACCCCCGAGGTCGTCCATGGAATGCGAAATGAGGCCCAGATGCGTTGAAAAGTCTTCCGAGGAGCTTCTAGAACTTCGCCCAGGATGCGCCAAGCATCGACATCCATCAGGGCTCATTGCAATACATATATATATATATATCCATGTGTGTGTTCGCCAGCGTGGACCCCAAACAGTGCGTTTCTAGCAAAATGTGTTGCGCGACATATGTGGAGCAATACATATGTTGTACAATATAGCTGGTGCCGTATAGGATGTGCAATCTGTCTGGTGCAATATGCGTGGTGCGATCTACGTGGTGCAATATATATATGTGTGTATATGTATATGTATCGTGCTGCCTATGTTGTGCAACATATGTAGTGCAATATGTTTGACACAAGGGGTCGTGCAACTCGACATACGTAAATATATACATCTTACGCACTGTGTGTGCAGTATATGCGGTGCAATGTATGGGGTGCGATCTATATGGTGCGTTCTATGTTGTGCAACCCACGTCGACTGTCTTGAAGCTGTCCTCTCCG